ACCCCTATACTGTCCCTGGAGGAATGTGGCCGTGTTCAGGGAGCGCTTGTTCTCCCTCTAAAGAAGCTGTGCTAAGACCAGCCAAGGGAACCCCATCACAAGAGGCAGTTTGTCCCTGTCAGCCACGAGCAATCATCCTGTTGGGATGTGATTTGTCTGTATCCACACCAGCCATCGTGCTGCACCTCGGGTGCATCTCACCAGAGCAAAGCATCCCCTCTCCCTTCTCTTCTGGCACACACAGGGCTGCATCCCCTGCCTGCAACCCCTCAGCTTTTATCTGTGCACTCTGTAGCTTAATGAATTGACTTTCTCAGCCCTCTGAGAGGAAAGGTGCTTTAAAGGACAAAAGGACCATTAATATCAGATGTCAAGCTGTAACAAAGAACAACTGTGCCACTGGTGCTTTCCTGATTAGTCAGAGCACCCCAGGTTGCATTATCTTGTTTGCAGCTGTGACAGGAACGTGATAGCAGCCCCTCTTTGGAAAAGTAACTTTTATTTTGTGGAAGCCATTTGTTCCCAAGGACAGAGCAAAGCTCAGAAGCCATAAACCATGCCCAGAGACGGATGACCTCAACCAATGGTTAAGTTTGTAGCAGGATATTGCTTGTTCTGCGGTGATTGCTCAGTGCTTGAGGCACGGTTCCCATTGCCCGCTCAGACATGCAGCACAGGATCACAATGCCCCGTGCAGGTTTGGAATCCGAGCATGTTTAGACAATGTTAGTGATGCTGTTCCACATCAGCCCAAATCCCACAGTGCCACGGACCCTTAGATCTCAAGGGCTGTTCACTGCTGGCCTGAAGACGTGATTGCAGCACCAAGCTAGGCTGGGTAGCGATGGGGATGGGGATGCAGACCTGAGGTGCATCAGCTCTGCTGCATCTCAGCACATGAACTTCCACGTCACTGTGAGCAGGGGTGCACTGGAGATGCTGGGATGTGGAAGCTGCTGGGTTCAAGTGTGGGGAAGCTGCTCTGGGTGCAGGACCCCCCCCCCCAAAGTGCATCACAGCCAAGATGGGGCACAGATAACGCAGAAGGCACAAGACAGGAGGCTGTGGGGCAGCCACCTCCTGCACAGGGCCTGGGAGCTGCTGACACCACAAGTGCCCTCAGAGGCTGCTGCGGACGCTGGGTCACCCCTCCTGCACTGGCTGCTTCCCTGCCTTGGTGGCTGCCATAGCCTGAGAGCAGTGCTGGGGTTGGGACAGGCTTGAAGGGGTGGAATCCAGCTCTACATCTGGCTCTGCAGCAGGGAAGGCACGCGTGAGTAGGCAGAGATGCATCCTTTGGTTTGGAGAGCATCCACAGGCTGCTGTCTGTGTGCTGGGAGGAGCAACCTGCACCTTGCCCCTTGCACCTGAAATGCCCAAACCAACAGCTCCAACACGAAGGAGGGGCTTGTAAAACACCACTGACCTCACAAAACTATACCCATATTGGCACACCAAAGCTGCCTTTGCTTTCCAATACAGCCAAGCTTGCAGGAGGCTTTTTCCCACAACCTAGCCATGGTCCATGACAAGGAGTCATCCTCTGACCCCTCTCATACCACTGCCTCCCCACTTCATCCCCATTGTTGGCATCTCCATTGATGCCATTAGCATCACTGCTGAACAGAGTACCTCCTGGTCGGGGTGTGCTGCTCTGGGACATGCACACACAGCTGGTTGTGTTGAACGCAGCCCCCAAGCTAAGGAAACAACCCTCTGTCACCCCCAGGAACCAACCAAATCTCCTGTACCCTCTAAATCTGTCTACCCCCAGCTCAGCCCTGCTGCAGGCAGCATGAGGCAGAGAGGCAAAGCTGCCCTCTTGAGTTAACTGGGCTTTCTTCAACCCAGGGCTGGCCAACCCAGCACCACTGGGTTCCCTGTGGGGACAGCAGCACCAGCTTGCACACCCCTAGGACTCCCTGTGGATGCTATGGCAGATGAAGGGGCCAAAACCAACCTGGCACTGTAGGGAGGGACAGAGGAGCAGGTGAAGGGAAGGATCCGTGTATGTAGGACTCCCAGATGCCTCCTTGAGCCCAGCCAGAGCAAACACTGCTGAGACCAAGAGCCTCCCTCCTGCACCAAGAGGTCCGGAGCCCTGGGGCAGGCAGCTCCTCTGTGCCCTCCTCCAGCAGCAGTGATGTCCCTGTGCCCCTCATCCAGCTGCAAACCCCTGCAGGCGCCTGTGCTCCCTGGCTCCAGTGTTCCAGATGTGTGGGTTCTCGCTCACACCAGTGAGCAGGAGTGAAGAGCAAGCAGAGCGGATGAGTAGCGCAGGAGAGGGCTTGGATCTCCTTCTAACATAAAGGTGCATGGGCTCACAGATGGGTATTTGCCAGTGCTGCAGCCCCAGGCAGTCCACAGTCCCCATGGGGAGACAGAGGATGTGAAACTGCCCTTTTCCTCCTCCAGGTATCCAAAACCAGTGGGAAATGCCCAGCAGAAGGCTGATGCTGGAGCTCAGGGTGAGCTTGGCCGTGCTGTTTCCTGCAGCTGCAACAGCCACACTGACCTCTCTTTCTCTCACAAGTGGCAAAGGCCTCTTCTATGAGAGCTGCCGAACCTCCAAGTGCAAGTGACTCACCACGAGTGTCCTATTCCCTCTGCCTTTGCTCTCCGGATGGCAGGAATACCTTCCTTGGCATCCTGCTGACCAGCTTCCCTCCCCGCACAGCACCAAGGGATTTGGGGATTGTTTACACTGGAGAAAAGGAGACTCAGGAGGGACCTCTTTGCTCTCTATAACTACCTGACAGGAGGTTGCAGTGAGGTGGGTGCTGGTCTCTTCTCCCAAGTAACAAGGGACAGGACAAAAGGAAATGGCTTCAAGCTGCACCAGGGGACGTTTAGATTGGATATGGGGAAAAATTTCTTCCCAGGGAGGGTGCTCAGGCATTGGAACAGGGTGTACAGGGTAGCAGTGCAGTCACCATCCCTGGAAGTGTTCAAAACCCATGTAGATGGGGCCCCAGTGCCATGGTTCAGTGCTGGAGTAAAGGTTGGACTTAATGATCTTAAAGTTCTTTTCCAACCCAGTTGATTCTATGATTCTATTCTAAGGGGACCCCCTGCTCAGGGCTGGCTCCTGGCCCACTCCAGCTCTACCTCCTGGTGGGGGCTATGAAAACACCAAATCACCTCATGTGAAAGCAGCAAAATCCCAACACAAGCTCCTCATGCACCTCCTCTGCCACGTCCCCTTCCTACAAGGACATCCCTGCTGCCAGCCCAGGCTGGTGGGAAGGGCAGAGCTGCTTTATCTGCCCTAGAGGGACACCCAGGAGGATCATCTTCCCCAGCCTCAGAAGGACATCTTGGTGATACCCATCACCATCACCATCATCTCATGCTGACCTCGCACACCTGCACACCACTGCACACCTGGGGAGCTGGCAGCAACCAAGGGAGGCAGAGCGGGTGGCAACTGATCCAAGCCAAAAGCATAACACCAGGATGCTGCTGTTGGAGCTTATTCAGGGGCTCAGACCTTCAGGGAATGCTGTGCCTTGAAGCTGCAGGGCTTAGACCCTCAGTGGTCTCCAGAGAGTTGGGGGAAGGTGATCGTGGTTATGCTAAGGGAAACTGTTTTCCCACCCTGCAAAAGAAGAGGCAGCAGGTCTTTCCTCACAGTAACATCCATGTGATTCCAGCTGCTTGGAAAGGCCTGAGGACTATGAGATACACCCAGTCACATTCCCTCCACCAGTGGAACCCCAGTGCAGTGAGCAGCACAACCAACAGCATGACCTTGCCCCCATCTTTCCCTGCTCCTCACTGTTTCCCATCCCCAAATCCTCATACCTTTCCCTCTTTTCCTTTCTCCAGGCCCTGGAAACCCCTCCATAACTAAAACCCTCACCACCACCTCCTCCCTAGCAGGGATGGGCTCTGCAGAGCTCGCTGCCGGTGCCTAGGGTTCAGTGTTATCATAGCTGGAAAGAAATAATCTTGTACCACATTTAGGGCACATCTACCCCGAGGAAGCATCTTGAGATCTGCAAATCACATGAAGTTTGTGGCCTGCACCAATGAAACCAGAACACTTGACAAGAGACAAAACTTGAGTTACAGTGGTGGTGGCCCCCAGCAATGTCACTTCAGCCTTCCCTGTTACTCCCCAGTTGGTTCGTTATTATTAATGTCACTACAATAAATACCAGAACAAAATGGACAGCGCTTGGCCACGTATCTTAAAGCATTGCCCCACTCCCTCCTTTACTCCGTGTCTTTGCAGCCTTGGTTTCCATCCATATCAGTCATCAGAAGAGGCTTTAGGGACAAAGCGTTTGACTATGTGACAAGCCAGGTAATAGAAGCCGTGCAGAATGGTGGCTGTGGCATCAATGACCAGGGAGAAGGTGCCCCCAATCCCGTTGGCCATGTCTTTGAGGACAGAGGGAATGGCACAGATGGAGTGGTAAGGGAAAGCAGCGAGGTGAAGGACAAACCCCACGGGGATGCGCAGGATCCTGTAGGTGAGGAACGCCACATCTTCAACAATTTGCAGGAAGCCCATGCAGATGTTGACGATGACCCTCCCCACATCATAAGGGATGCTGATGAGCACCATGGTGATGTTTTTAAGGTAGGACACCAAACCGTTCCACAGGTTGCAGACTCCATCCAGAACTGTACCACCAGCCCGCTTGATAACAAGCCACAGAAAATAGAACACGTATTTCACCAGCTCCACAAGCACATAGATGAGGAGTTCCAGAAGTTTGATGAAAGGGGTAGCGATGATGCCAGCCACTTTCCTCACCAACCCGCTCTCCTTGGCATCCTGGCTGTCACTTGCTCTCTCTTGCTCTCCAGAGCGGACCTGACTGACAGCTTGCAGTATTGCTCTTGTTTTCTCCTGGCTTTGGTTGTCTTCCCCACAGCTGCCCTTGAACAAGTGAACTCCTGTTAGAAGCTTCTTCTCCAGCTCTCTTACTGTGAGGTCTGCCAAGCTGTTGTCATCATTCGTGTTTTTCACTATTCCCAGGGACCATCCGTCTGCAGCATCACAGCAGGCTGCCAGCCACAGCGTCTCTGGCACCGACAGCTTGCCTTTAACCCGGGCTCTGGAAGGAATTGCCCCTGCAAGGAGATAAAGGTGATCCTTCTTGGAGCAGTGAGGGACCAGAGCTTGCTCCACTACCTTCCCAATGTCTCTGTGCCAGCTTTTGCTCACAGATGGGCTCAGAGGGACGGCGTTTGTGAGGGTGTAAGTGGCCATCTGGAAATCCTCCTCATTGAGCAGGCTGGGATTGAGCAGCCCTCTCTCATAGCCAGAGCCCACGTAGTCTGAGGTCAGGGCTTGGTTTGCACCAAGGTTGGCCACAGTGCCAGCAATATCAGCTTCATGCACCATCTCCTGCAGGTCATTTTCTGGGTCATCTATCTGAAATAGCAGAGAGAAGAGTTACTGGATGCAATTTGCCTTCTTAGGAAGCAACGTGTAAAATGGGCCTTTAAGTATATTTTCTATTATGACTGCTACTACATATTATGCCTTAGACTACATCCTTCTCTCCCTCCTTACTTTCCCTGTGGCACTTCGGATGAGCACATGCTCTACTTAGCTGCCCTGTCGAACACATTAGTTTAAGCTGCAAGGGATCCTTGCAGCTCTGCAGCCTGGTCTGCAACACAGCCTCAAAAACCCATCAGACACCGGTCACCAAGCCTCTAACTTGTGCAAAGAGGTTTTTAGGACCAATCGATGCTTGGCTTAGGGCCTTGTTCTCACCTCCTGTGGTGGTGGTACCTCCAGTTCACGTAAGCACCTATGGCACCTTAATTCAGTCCCTCTGAACTATCAAATTCAAACCATGGGGGAAAAAAAACATGGTATATCAGACACCTACCAAAGACATTTACCCCTCACCACTGCGTAGGAAGCCAGAATGAAGGCAGGCACCATGGCAGGTGACCTCAACTTGCCTGCCTAGAACACAGACACAGCAGAGAGTTCCCAGGGCTCTCTCAGGGCTCGTCATTACTAGTCTGAACCTCATCCTTAATGAAGGCACAGCTCCTGGCATAACATGGGTGAGGATGCCATCAGTGCAGGTCCCTGATGGAATCTGTGCTACCTGCTTGTGTCTGCCATTCCCATGCTGAGGAGCCATAGGTGGCAATTGCAGCAGCAGGAATTCTTCCTGGAGCCATGCACAGAGCCATTCCCATGCTGCAGAGCCATAGGTGGCAATTGCAGCAGCAGGAATTCTTCCTGGAGCCATGCACAGAGCCATTCCCATGCTGCGGAGCCATAGGTGGCAATTGCAGCAGCAGGAATTCTTCCTGGAGCCATGCACAGAGCCATGCTCATGGAGGTAACACCCAGTGGGAGCAGGGCACACTCAGCTCTTCCCTGGGTGGCCAGGACACTCTCTGCTCCTTACCCCTGTTGACAGTGCCTGCAGCAGTGCTGGAGGTGTGCCAGATGGTTGTCATTTTCCCCCCCAAATTAGAGGGTGAATGTGTTGGTACAAGCTTGGGGGTGGCAGACGGTCTCTGGCCTCGGTGCCTCCTGTAGCCTCTGTTTCAGTGGCTGTGGCTCTCCGCTTCCAGCACTGTGCTGGCCCAATTAAACCTGCACTCCTTGCTCCTGGCCTATAAACTGATTACTGTGCTACATAATACGTACTTTGGAGACATGTGTGGCAGAGAGTTCATAGTTTACCTTGAACCACTCCCCAGTCATCCACCTTACCCAGTGTTTGTATCCCCTTAGTGCCGCATTGCCTGCTCACAGCTCTGTGCCAGCCTGTGCTGAGAGTCAATGTGACAGCCCCAGTGCCAGTGAGTGTCAGCAGCTATCCATCACTGAGCTCAGGCTGGCCTCCTGCACCAGCCAAACCCCTGCGGTCCTGGCCCAGGGCTCTCTCTGCACCAAGGCTGGTCACAGTGCCGTTGCAGAGGGCTGCATTACCCCCATCTCCTGCTAAGCATCTGATGCTTATTGCTTCAGGACTGAAAGGATCACTGTGAGCCCTATGTGCTGATGCACAAGTCACAGCTTTTTCTAAACACACCACTTAAAATGACTTATTCTGCTCTGCTTGTGCTTTATTCTGCTCCTCTTGCTCAGACACCCCAAACTCACAGGCTGCAACTGGCTGATGAGGTCAGACAATGTGTTCCACAAAATCACTGTCCCTTCCTGCCCCCCTCCCCAGCTGCTTCTCCCTGTTCTGATGAGATGATTGTGTTGTGCCATGGGACAAGGGATGCACCCGCTGTGTTTAACCCTGCAGTACCATGAGGGGAGAGCAGGCACAATGTAAGGCTGTGCCTGGGAACTGCCCTCCATCCTACGGCCCTTCCAAGCCTGACTGACATCCTCACTCATGCCCCCTCGCTCCCATAGCATTGCTGCCATACCACAAGGACACATAGACCCAAGACTGATCAGCTCTACCCCGTGGCAGAGATTCCCAGCCTACAGGAAGCATATGGTATAAACCTAATTTTCTCTCTTTATGAGCTGATGCATGCAAACCTTGAGGTGCCTATCAGGAAAATATGTCTCTGGTTACCTGTTCAGCTGCAGGCTTTTGCACATACCATTGGGGATGTTTAGGTGCAATTAAAAAAGAACATGTTAAAAATGCTGCTCATGTGTAAGGCTCTGACATCACCCAGTTGTGTTTATAATAACTCACCTAATGGTTTGTAATAACTCCTGTGTAACTGAGGTTTCCACGCCTCCCCCAGCTCAGCCTCAGAGCCAAGCTGCCGCCAGCACCCCATCTAATCTGCACTGCAAGCCACCTTTCCTCACTGCTTCAAAAAGCTTTTGGGTTGTGTCACTGCCAAAGCACATCTTCATTCAGGGAGTCAGCCGTGAGGCCATCTGTCCAAACAACCTGCAACAGCCAAGGGCAGGATCCAAGCAGACAGGTAAACACCTTGTTCACTGCATGGGATGTAGAAATGAGTTATGCATCTGAGCACCTGTATGGATGTAGCACCTAGCTCATACATCTGAGCATACGTATGGTTGTAGCACCTAACTCATACATCAATGTGTTCCACAAAGCAGGGGTTGCAGTTCCCAGGCAGAGTATAAGAGGGATTTAAAGTATGGCAACACACAGTTATTAGGGCAGGCAGCTTCCATCAGGTTTGGTCACAGGACCAAGGCAGGACGCTGTTACCTCCCACCTCCCCTACACTAGTACTTAGGATCGCAGGCGAACTTCAGCATCTCACTGCCCTCACTACTGCCTCAGGCACGCTTATACCTTTGATTGCAGTGGAAATATTTCACCCAGCCTCAGTGTGGGACTCATTCCTCAGGGAGGAGGCACAGTGCCTCTTACACCAAGGTTTCTGTGGTAGGACATTCACATGGGTGGCTCTAGAAGTACCTGTTTGTCCTGACTGTCTACCAAGAAAGATGGCAAGAGCAGCTGAGGGAGCTATACTGTACATAGCTGGGCAATGCAAGTCCCCCCTTGGTCATCTGGCTGGTTGCAGTCATCAACCAAACTAAGCCACAAAGTGATTCATGCAGCCCCTTATACATTAGGACAGAAAAGGCAACTCCAGGGTTTTCCACCTCTCTCTAAGGCTGCAGAGCCAAACCCATAGGTTTTCAGACAGCCAAAATGAAATGAGGTGAAAGCCACCTGAGGGACTTGCCCTCAACCCCTAGGAAACCTGTGGTAAAGCAGGTTTCCAGCCCTGAGCCTGGGAGAGTCCTGTCAGTACCCAGCTCATCAGCCTGCCCTTCCTGTCACTAATTGCTGAATTAATGGGCTGTTTCCAGCTGCCGATGGGCAGTGGGTGGCACTGGCATTCCTCACCCTCCTCACCCAATTACTGCCTCCCTGCTACATTTGGCATTTGCTCCTCAGGCAGACATTCCTGAGGAGGCAGCACCCAGGGGGGGGAGACAGTGCCCTCACCACTGACATCACTACCCCCAAAACAGCATGGGGCAGCCCTGCGGCCCTCACCTGAGTGCTGAGAGTGGTTTACAGTGATTTCTCTCTGCTCGCTCTGTTTCTGCATCTCCATGTGTATGCACATAGGTGTAAGCACAAAGGGTATTGGTTGGGCTTGATCTTAAGGGTCTTTTCCAAGCTAGTTGATTCTATGATCGCCTATCTTTATTGCCTGCAACCTCGTGGCCTTAGCACCTCATCACCCCACACAAGGAGGAAAATGATCACGGCAGCCATTCTCCTGGGACAGGGCTGAGCTTTGACTCCCACAGCATCGAACACCCGAGGTCCCAACGCACTGCTCTGATACTGCAGCCACTCCTCCCCTGACAAAGTGCCCTCAGATGCTGCCTGTCTTCCCTGAGCTCAGCAGATAGGGGCAGCTTGAAGTTTGTTACAGAACTCCCCATGCCCACTGCTGAAAAACAAGGAAAAAAGGCAGGAAAAAGAGAGGTGAAGTGTACCTGTTCTCTCAGGGCACTAGCAACTTTTTAAGGATTTCCCTGAACTTCAACAGCTTGAAGGACTTGCTTAAACTTGCCAGGTTTTGCCAAGGGGAGACAAAAACTGCTGAGACTCTGGCAAAGTTAACTTTATACCGCACACTTCTGACTCCGGGATAGGGCAACTCATTTCCCTAAGGGAGTCTGCACCACCGGGACACAACAAAAAGCTGCAGCATCAACTTGGTGAACCGCAAATGGATGTTTTATCCCTGCGCAGCGAAGCTAAAGACCTCCTATCAACACAGAAAGAACTCTTATCAACACTGCAGTCGCACTGGCAACAGAACAAACTTCCCCTTGACACTATGACGGTTAACCCTGCTGCCCACCAGCAGCCCGTGATGAGCTGGTACCAAAGAGACTTTCCTCTTCCCTGGTATTGCGTGTCCCATGCAGCAGCCTCTCAGCTTTTATTGGAACTAAAAGATCTTAAGGTCCTTTCCAACCCTAAGTATTCTATGGTTCTATTATTATAAGCACTGCGGGACAAGGAACTATTTGTTTCCTCAGTTCCAAGCACAAAAACAAGTCTGCTTGCATTAAATTCCTATCAACATAAGTTAAACAAGCAGAGCGCCCACCTCCTTTGCAAAATCCTCTCTCCAGCTTCACCCCAGAGGAAAATGTTCCCTAGGAAACATTTGCTTTATAGGGATGGAAAAGCTGACTTACCTGCGGTTCGACCAGCCAGCTCTCCTCCTCGCTTTGGGCTGGCTTTGTGTACTTAAAAGCCGAATAAAGAGGGATTTTGTCCTTCGTGCTGTAGAGGGTTGCAAAGCGCGGCTCTTTGTTGTACTGCTGACAGATTTTCACGTGGAAGGGCTGTGTAAACCCTTCGGGTGGGACTTGCCCAGGGAAGAACACGTTACACTCAGCAAAGCCAGCTTCATCCTTTCCGACCACTCTGCCTTGGGAAAAGCCTGGGAAAACCGAGATGCAAAGCAGAAACACAACTGGCGTCTTCATGGTCCACTCCCTGGAGCCCAGGGGAGCCCCGTCTGCCTCCGCTGGGTACGGCAAGGGACCTGTGCCCTGAGTCCATGCAGCGGCCAAGCCAGAGAGCGTCTGGAATCCGGGTGTAGCGTGCGGGGGAAACGAAACGCGCAGCCACAGCCGATCCCTGCGGGGAGCCGGCGCGTTGTGAAACCGACCGTGCGCCGCGCCGCGCCGCGCTGACACACGCCAAGTGCCCGCAGGAGGGAATGCCGAGCAACCTGGAGTCATCGGGGCTCGGTGGGAAGAGGAGGAGGGCAGCGCATGGCGGGCGGGGTGTGCCGTGCTGCATTGCAGCACAGTCCCCGGCAGGGATTTTGGCTGACGCAGGCAGAAGCGCTCCCGGGGCTGCCAAGGGGGATGCTGCAAAGTCAGGCTTACTTCCTCCAGCAAGGTGCTGGCTGTCCCTCTTCACTGCCAGCCTGGACCGAGGTGAGCGGAGGAGGAAGAGAGGTGACGGGATACTGGAACTGCTCCTTTTGGGGATGTCTGTCATCGGTATTGCTGCTCTAAGGTGCCTGGGAAAGGTGTTCTCCTCCCGTCTCTACTGGAGCTGTATAGGGCATCCAAACCCCTCCAGTATCACCTCACCTGGGCAGATTGCCTCTTAAAGAGATTAACGAAAGGTAGAAGGATGCGGATCCTTAGATCACACCCCTCTAATGAACACCCACCTCTGAATAGTTTGACCAAACCTATAGAAGACAAAGAAAAAAGACAAAGGAAAAGGAAAAGAAAAAAAAGAGAAAAATCTACCTACAGGGAATGAAACTGCTCCTCTGAGTTTATGATAATCTGCCCAGTGGCCAGCTGACCATGGTACCTTGGCTACTGGTGGGTAAAAGGCTGTGCTCTTTCAGTGACAGGGAAAATGAGTGTTTTCAGAGTAGTGGGGATGGAGACCACAGAGCAGCCTCCTCAGCATCAAGAACATAAGCAATTTTCCACCCAAGAAGTTGCATGTGATCAGCTGTGTTGCAACAACTTCAGAATCCTGGTGTTGGTAAGGAGCAGCTCTCTTGTGATTTCCAACCAAAAAAAATGGCAAGTGCTACCAACCCACCAGTGCTTTGCAAAGTAGGAGCAGTCCATCCAGCAGATGATGAGATGAGATGAGACAGCGTGTGGTTAAAGTGCCTGCCCAAGGTCAGAGAACGAGCATGTAAAAGCACTAAAAATAGACCGGACTCTAAGACTATCATTCCTCTACTCAATACTTAATACTTCTAGAAGTATTAAGGCATGGAAATACGTCAGCATCTTTTGGTGCAGTGTAATCATCTGGGGGAGACAGGCAGGCTGGGGAGCAATAGGAAATGTATAAAGTGGGCTTGGTTTTGGTCCAGGCAAAACCTGGTCACCCAGCCCTGACACAAAGTGTCATGTTCAGGAAAGGTGGTGTAAATGAAAGCACAGGAACAGCCTGACCTTAACACAGCAGCTCCAAAAGTTAGGCTTAAAACTTCATACTCCTGGATGGCAGAAGGCACCTGGGAAATCAAGAGCAGAAGCCAAACCTCAGCTATGAGGTGTTCTTTCTGATCCCAGGCTTGCAATTACCTGGGTAGCAGAAGAAAATATCTGTACAAACATGGCGAGCCCTGCTCCCCAGCAAACCCAGGCCTTTAAACACCCCACTCCAAGACAGGCATGCATCACCCCAGGATAGGCACGGTCCCAGCCCAACAAAAAGGCAGCATGAGGTTTCTCAGGATGGGTATAACAGTGACCAGCATGCTGACTTCCACCAGGAAACATCCTGCTTCTGTCCTGGACTTGGGCATCAATCTCCTGCCTCAAAGCAGCACATCTGTCCCTTTGGGTGCACACCCCTAAGCTGTCTTCTGAACCTCAAGGGGTTTTTACCTGCTTCTTGGGAACTCTGAGTATCTCTTTCCTTTAGGGCTGTGAGGCTGGGGTCTGCCTCTTTAGCTCTGTATTTACCAGCTAACAGATAAGCCTTGGCTCAATCTGAAGAGCAAGAGCCTGGGGCTCTCATGTCCCAGAAAGAGCATCAGTGTGAAACCCAGTATGGAGTCACACTCCTCAAATCCCAATCCCATTTTCTCTCCATGTGAGGCCCCTGTCCAGTTTCTATCTAATTCAAGATAGCTGTTGTGACCCTTAAATGTGGGGCTGCATATTTTTTCATGTTCCTGCTAACATCACTATTACTAAAGAGACTAGTGCCATCATCATGGTATGGCACTCACTGTGATGAGAAGACAAAGGCCAAAGGACTGTCCCTGCCTCAGGAAGATCACACTTTCAGCCAAGGGATCTCTGACAGCTGAAAGAGTCAAACATGTCAGAGGTTTTGGCAATTCAGTGCTCCAGTAGCTTATCTGCTACCACACACTTTTATAGGCATCACAGGGAGCAATTGCCTATAGGCAGTGATAAGGAGTGATGCCTATAGGGACTGCTGCACAAGGGAGTTTTAAGGTCAGATCCAAAACAAGGACCCTAAGGCTGTAGATGGGAGCAGCAGGGCTCTGGCAAAATGGGGTTGGAACTGGGCAGTGTGAGCTGGTGGCAGCAGTGTGGCCTCGCAGGAGCTGGGGCTGCCTCCTCCAAACTCACTGCACAAGCCCAGCAGTGCAGGCAAGCCCCTGAGGTTTAATATGAGGGAGGCAAGGGAGGATGAAGGGGCAGGTGATGTGGTCAAAGGGATGTGAGAAAAGTGATCTCCCAGTGGCAGACAGTGTATGGGAAGACAAGAGAGGCTGTAGGCAATAGGCTGTGTGGACACAGAGTTTGCAAGGAATACCAGAGACAAAGTGTGTCAGGGAAAACGACATTTAAGGCAGACTGAAGAAAGGGAAGGTCAATAAAAGAGGTTAGGGTCCAGAAAATGCTGTTGAACAGGAGGAAAAGGAGTAAAAATTAGAGATGAGGAGGATCTGAATTCTTTAAAAAACTGGGGAAATAAGGGAAGAGTAAGGAGGAAAATGAGTAGAAATAGGAGTGAGAAAACCCAGGAGATGGACTGTGATAGGTCAAGTGAGGAGATGATAGCAAGCTGATGAAATCTGTCTCCTTTGGTTGTAAGAAAATGAAAACATTGGGGGGGGAAAGGGGGAAAGCAGAATGAAAGGAGGTTTTCATCCATATTCATTGACCTGACATAATGACCAGTCCTCCTCTTCCCTAAGGGTCTCAAGCACCAATGTCTCAAAGAAAATAGTACCTCCCTGCAAAACAAACATGAGAAGCATGCCAGCATCCAAACCCTTTAGTTACAGAGAAGCTGCCGGGCTTGTTTGCCTGCTTTCCTATGCTGTGCCTCCAGCCCTGCCTGTTCACAGAGCTGACACTGGGTTTGCTACAAATAGCATATTTTTCTCCCCACATTCCTGACCCCTCTGGTCTGGTCTTTCAAAACATTCTTGATTCCAAATATTTTCCAGGCTGGATCTCCTGTCTCCTACCATGAACTCTGTCCAGGGCCCTGCTGCTTTCTATATGTCACTGTCCTATTCGCATGAGAAGGAAGAGGAAAGTGTCTGCAAGAACAAACAGTCCCACTGGAGAGACACCATCTGATTCAGTGGAGATACCAAGGATTGGGATTGGAGCATGGCAGTGCCAGCAGACGTGCCATGGCATGTCAGAGAGCACATCAGCCTCCTCACTGTCTCATGGGGAAACAGCCTCTCATTAAAATTAGCTTAAAAACTCCATCTGGGAAAGGAGCCCAGTGTTGAGCTGGGGAGAAAAGCAGGAATGAAACGATTTTCCTGTTGAAATTAAGACATTCAAGGGATGGGGGGCAAAAAGACAATAAACTCTTTGAGGAAGAACTTAGTTAGCAGTACGCTGTTGGGATTTTGATTCCCACCTTAAACCAGGTCTTGATGTCAGTCTCTGCTGCCTACTTGTTAGGTGTTCAAACGTTTTCATGCCTTCCCCCTTGTGCTGGTGAGGAATGGCTCACCACTGATAGTGCTGATTGGTGCTTGCTTCTGCTGAGATGCTCACAAACAGGGGTGGGCAAGAGAGGGACCACTACCCACCCAAAATTGCCAGGGATGCGCTGGTCTGGCTCCTCTGCTGCCTCACTTGCCTTTTCTTTCTGCCACGCTCGGAGCCACCAACCACAGCAGCCAGTGGATGCCTTGAAGTGGTGAAATCAGAAGAGGAAAAGATGTGGAAGTTTAAAGCATAAAATTATGGAGGAAGTTGTGTGTGGTGCCCATTCAGAGGAGAGGGTAACAATTGGGAATGGTGAAGCAGCTCTCTGGGTGATAACACCATTAGGAGAGGGACCAGTTCTGGGTTTCTATAAACACTTGCACAGTGGGAGTCCAACAGGGACCTCGTAAACTGTGAAGTACAAATGCACTGCATAAATACTGGATAAAATGAATAAATTCCAGAGCCCACATCCTTCAGCACTCTACCACAACCTTCATGTTCAATGGATCTCTGCTAATCTTCAGGCTGTTAGAAACTAGCACAACCACGATCCCATGCTTGACAGGAGTAGGATAAATCTGGATTAGCAATACAAGGAAACGTTCTTAATAGTGCAAATGATTTATTATCAAAACAAATTATTTAGAGATGCACTAAAAGCCCCAATACTTTCATTCTTTAAATCAAGAAATGTTTTTTAACATAAAAACAACTGCAATAAAAGAATTGATGCTTCAACTGTAATGGAGTTGTTTTACAGATTGGTCTACAGCCTTTGTTTTACAGATTGTCAGTTGGTCAGAACCACAGCAGTTCTTTCCCACTTTAAATCTGTTTTGGACAGGAAAGTTACCCACTTGTATGTTTGTCTTCTAGGTATTATTACTGACTTTCTATCATTTGTTAGATTTTGTGCTATGTGCGGTGTGATTCAGTCAATGCTGAGAGCTCTGTGCTAGGTGCTGACTGAAAACAAGGTGCAAGACAGCTCCTGACTATCTGCATTGACAGGAGGCTGATGAGTGGGAACAAAATCAGAGGTACAGACTTGCTAGGCTTGCATCATCTTTGAAGAGGGAATGTGCAAGCCATAATCCTTGAGAAAGCTAAACCTGCTGGCAGGATCCAGAAGCTTTCATCAAGAGGCAAGATAGCAGCCGCACCCAGGACTGCCTGTCTCCAGTAACACCACCGTGTTTTGGAACCAAAGAGTGGGAGCACTGAGATATTCTCCATTAAGGGTTGATGGAGGTGAGGTTCCAGCTGCTCCAGGCTCTGATGATGTCTGTGCCACTCAGATCACCAGCGGAGTTGCCCACACAGAGTCCAGTTTTCCCAACAGGCAAAGCAGAGAAGTAGGCAACACAAGTGTGACTTGCACTCCAGATGTGCTGTCTCTGCACCAGATGTAAAGTATGCCCAGGGTGTCCACACCTGGTTAGACAAACCTTGGGCAGGACCTAATGTACTCCTGTCACCACAGGGATTTAGCCCATGAAAATCAAGTGGGTTGGCTGTGTGAAGGATGAGCGAGCAGGTCTTTCTCCATGTTCCTTTCAGGCCTTTGCTACTGAAATACCTATTGTAACTGCTGCTAGGTGTTAACATAGGATCATATTTTCCACATATGTTGTGCCTTGGCCAGTGCTGCCTGGAGGAAGATTCAAACGTGAAAAATGCAAACACCACTCCCAAGATCCTGTCATTCCATGAGTACAGGGCACAGCTCCTGCCCTTAGAGGTCACAGAACAGCATCATTGTACAGCAGCCAGGACTAAGTGTTTCCTCTAAAAAACAAAAGCAGCAGTGCTTTTAGTCACACAAACTGATAGCAGGGTGGAAGGAAGTACGAGCCTTAAATCAGTGCTTTAAATAAGTGGGTGGCTGGTTGGGACTGCAGGTTACATTGCAAAAACCCAAAGCCTTTCGAGATCAGACCTGGAAACCTCTGGATTTCAAAAACAGCTCAGAAGAACAGAAGAACTGGACTTTGCAGTGTCTCTGCTGCATAACTGCATGACTTGACTTGCTTGGGAGATGGTATGAGCTTGTCTGTGTCTGTGCAACACTTATCATATACCAGGCTGGGGACCAGCCAGTGCCCACATACATGGTTCACCAGGTGATATTCAGGTGCACTCCACATCAGTGCTGTAGTGTCTCACATCTAGATCTCCTTCCATGCAGTAAAACTCAAGATCTTGAGATAGGCATTACAGCTCCCCAGAAATCATAGAAGCCAACACATTACACAGGGACCGTCATAAGCTAGACAGTCACTAAGGACAAAATATAAGGCTTTGGCACTGCTTTGCAAAGAGAATTAAAAGCCTCAATATCCTCAAGATTTGTAATCATGAATCCTCTCCTGGCTGCAGGCACTCAAGGAGAGATAACTTTGTTCTCTTTCTCTTAAGCTTAGTATTAGCATCTGGGAGATCAGCATCTAAACTAAACCTTGAAGACCAGGTTCTAGTCTTACCTCCACCAGGACACAGGAGAGGTTTGGGGTCAACTGTCTTGCTTCCATATGAGTGCTTCAGTCCCTGTCCTGCTTGCTATTGGACTTTGCATTATCACCTATTCATGAAATCAGAAGGTGCAACACCTTCTGCCCTTCAGTTCTGTAGTGAAAGTGTAAGAGCAAGAGACTTATGGTCCAGGTGCTCTCAATCACCTCTGTGCATCACCCAAGTGAACCAGAACTGGAGGGCACCCCAGCTCTCTCCCCTTCCTCCAGCACAAGGCAGTGCATAACCACTCCATGTTTCTAACTGAACATCCTTTACCCCTGATGGGAAAGGCTTTGAAGCCTACCTAGGACAGATTACAGAGCTCATGGCTGGTGAAGACGACAGGAGTTGGAGTTGTTGGAGTAGGCAGGCTTCAACACAATGAAAACTTGAAGGGGGGGAAGATGTGAATAGTTCAGAAAGCACATTCATCACACGCCAAGCATTCCTGTGCAAGCCCTACCCCCACAGGCACCAGCTCCACCAGTGCTTCCCTCCACAGCTGCCCACTGAACTGTGGTGCTGTGGTGGGACTCCCCACCAGTGGGACACAGCATCTTGCACAGGACCAGCACTCCTCCCTCTAAATTTTACCTGCAAGGACAGCACAACAAAGTTGCTAAGGGCACAGTAAAGCAGTACTGAACAAGAATGATCAGGTCAAGCTGCTTCTCTTGTGTGTTTTTGCAAGGACAGAAGAGAGATGTGGCTCTTGCACCATGATCATGAGAGAAAACAAGCAGAGGAGAACAGGAAAGGAGGGAGGGTAATGCCAAGTTCGGTTTCAGTTACTAATCCTTGGCACCAGTGATACAGAAACAGGCAGAGTCTTGCCAAGACAAGGCATGTCCGCAGATGTGTTCGCAGCACACACCTTCTCATTGTGCCCCTAGTTTGCAGGGAAGCATGAGACACCCTGTCCAAAAGGCCTTCTGATTCTACAGGTAGCCTTTGCCTGGCTCATCTTATTAAGGAAGGGCTTCAGTCCTGATCTTGCATGAGTCTGCTGCATCCCTAGTCTCTGTCCCACAGCTCAGGTGTACACAAGACTCGGTGTACAACTGTAACTCAGATAGATGCGATGATTGTTCTGATAGTAAAATAACGCAGCAAAACCCTCTGGGCTTTGTAATACAGGAAACCAAATTTCATAACCTGCTCTAACATGGGATATTGTAGCTACAGATTGTAAAGCAAAAGCCTTTGGTCTATTATCTGTGGGTTTACAAGGAAGGAAAAGCACAGGACTTGGGGAAAGGGGCTAGTTTTTCAATACCCCAAGGCTGGTGGCAGTGCTGAGAAGAAAATATCAGTTTCCTGACTGCCAGCCCTCTGCACTGACACAGCCCTACATAAGCAAAAGCCTCCCTTGAGGCCTTAGCAGCTAAAATACTGTGAATTTACAATCGAAAGCGAAGGGAAAATAAACGCTGTTGATCCCATTTGTGGGTCAGGAGTTCATTGTTTTCCAAGCTGATCTTTGTTTTCATCTGAATCAGAGTAAACTCGCTTCTGCCCACATCTGAAAGAAACAATGCAAGTGGCTAAAACCCTTCTGTAGCCAGAACTGCCTCACTACTAGGCGAACCCTTTGTGCAATGTGTTAACTGCAGCAACTGAAGCATAGCTAAGGATAACTAAGGGTTATCACAGTGGTTAAGAGAAGTCACTGCTGAGTGATACCAGCTAGAATCCTCTTAGGTAGGAAAACGTGACACATTCATATGGCATCTTTGGAGGAGGTGAGGGTTGATTCCATGGCTGACCTTTACAATGAGTTTGAGGACTGCATTACTGAGATATTGCTGCAAAGGAACCTGAATTGTATTTTACCTTGATTGGGGTGACACATCATAAAATCAGAGAATGGTTTAAGTTCATCCAGTTCCAACCCCTTGCCATGGCCAGGGTCACCTTTCACCAGACCAGGTTGCTCCAAGTCCCATCCAACCTCACCTTGAACACTACCAGGGATGGTGCATTCACAGATTCCCTTGGCAACCTGTGCCAGTGCCTCAGCACTCTCACAAGGAAGAATTTCTTCCTCATATCTAATCTAAATCTATCCCCT